TTCACCCGTGTCGGAATTCATGACGATTAAAGGAGAAGGCGATGGTCAGGCAGGATACTGTACAGGGGCCGACCGTTTCAATGTTTACCAAGGTGGACGTCTCATTGTCGTGAAAGCAACCACGTTTTTGGTCAAGCCGTGCCGACTTTTTCATTATTGTACGGACTTTTCGGAAGGCTGTTGCCAACGTTCCGCGTTGCATGCATTCACAATGCATCCCTCGCAACAATGAAAGAATTACATGCAAAAGTCACTTTGCTTCGGTTTAACTTCCGTTTTATCTAGGTTCTTGCTATACGTGCGTACACGCGTGTTGTTGTAGATAACTTGCAAAAATATATACACGTGCAATGTGGCAAATGTGTTTCGAAAAATTGGCGATATTTAAATTGTTATAACTTCGCAACAAGTTCTTCTATATTTTTTTTTCTATTCGTTTCCCGTAAAAATGTTTTCGCATCGTGTAAATTCGAAGATATCGTTTCCCCTCGAAAAATATTGAAAAAATTTTTCCATCGCTGATTTCACGATGGACTTGAAGATTGAGGATTTCTCTTTACAATGATTTCCTACTGTACATTTTTTTTTTTTTTTCATTTTATTGAACTTTGAATATATCCAAACTTTTAATATTTTTTAATCCTACTATTCAAATAACTTGGTAAAAAAAAAAATCGTACAGCAAATTTTAGAGGATCGTTGCAAAGAGGAGGTTCCAGTCTTCAGATTCATAGTAGATTCTGTCACAAAAAAAAATTTTCAATGAATTTATAGCATTTTTGAATAGTATCTTCATTTTCCTATTTACTATATTATATAAAAGCATTTTTGTGAAAAATGAATTCGAAATAGCGAAAGTAAAAGCTTTACACTTTAAAATGAATCCAGACTCATAGCTTCATACGAAATAATTTAAAATAGTAACAATTTAAACATTTTTCGAAATATTGGTAATTTAGCGCAAATAAAAGGTATAAAATAAATTAATCTGACTGATCTTGATATTCTTCTTGTGCTCACTTTCTTTCAAACTTTTCACTTGCTTTGTACGACAGTCAGTCTCTTTCCCAGGTACACGTGTATATAGGACTGCATTGTAGTTGGACGTGAATAGCTGAACTATATTTAATTCAGCGACAAATGGTTGCATTGTGACTGCCCGTACTATGTCACAAAGTACTGCCGAGAAACGACATTTTAAAGATTCGTAGACAGAAAGGTAGCATTTCAATTTAAAGAAAAATTACAAATTGATTAAAACGAAAGGAAAGGTCTTTATATGCAACATCGAAGCAGCATCGAATTCACCTTCGTTTTTAGGAAAACGTTCAAAGTATCTATATGCGCGAGAATATTCGATCGATATTCGAAAAGAACAAAAAGTTGGGCAAAGTTAAAATAAAATGAAAAAAAAGTTCTTTACATATTTGAAAAATATATATCGCCAATGTTTAACGAAATAATATCGTTGCGATGAGATACAAAATTAATACATTTTAGAAAAACGTGTCTAAAGTGCACGTGTATGAGAACCGATCGATATCCATAAAGAACAAAAATTGAGCCGAGCGGTAATTGCACCGTAATTCCCCCTGCGAAACTTTCTTTGGAAATAGTATAGTCTTGTATCTCTGGTACTGGTGGAGGGAGATAAGGAACGGAATCTCCTTTAATGATGGCTGACTTAATATTCTCTGGACGTCCGTACACGATTTAACGAGGGCGGCACTGCCGCGGACCACAAAGCCCGCGTGTTGCACGTAGGTGAAGACGACGGCCCGAGAAATAGACCGGGCCATTCTCGATTCGAGCTGGGCCCCCTTGATCGAGGAACGTGCACACGGTGGCGGCTGACGTCGTTTAGCTCGCAGCCGCCACCGAGAGAGAAACGCCCGGCAACCTGTCTCAACCAGGCCGGCAGATAAGCAACTGCGAGATAAGATACGCTAATTGAGAGATCTTAATTGGAGGCCGCACGGACCCTTCTCGGCCTTTTTCTTTCGCGGACGCACCGCCAGCGTCGTCCTCGTTTCTTCCGCGCCTTCACCTTTGTACAAGGTAGAAAAGAAAAATCATAGATTCTACACTTTCGGTTGGAATTGATGGAAATACATGTAAAGAATCGGTCTCAGAATTGACTTTGATCTTGAATTTCAAGGTCAGAATTCTTTTTTCGCATCGTAATCTACTCTTGAAGGTACCCTAAATCGAAATCTAATAGTTCTTTTGAAAAGTGGCGAAAAAGTTTCTTAATCTTGACCTTGAATTTTCTTTTTTTTTTTTTTTGCATTATGCTTTACTCATTATGAAGATAAAACATTTCCAAGGAACCTAATAATTCTTTGTTACTGCTTTATTACTAATAACTCTTTAATACTGCGTGCTTTATAGTTGACAGCGACTTTATAGTTCTATTTTTTGCATTATATTTTACTCGTCACGAATTAAAACTCTTCCAAAGAACCATAGATTGCAATCTAATAATTCTCTTGAAAAATGACAGAAACGTTTGTTAACAACGCTGTGGACGCATGCGTCCTAACAACGATTTTATGGTTCTCGATATGTGGCTGTCTATATTACGTAACATTTATATCTCGAATAGTGTTAAGTTGGTTTCATCATTTGATTTATATAGACTCATACTGATGCTACAACTATGATAAATCAAATGTTAATGAAACCTAATACGAAAATTACGTAAAATAGGCATCCACGCGTCCAAAACCGTAAAGTCGCTGTTAGGACGCTCACGTCCGCAGTGTTAACTGATTAAGAAACATTGCATGCCATTTTTCAAAAGAATTATTAGGTTCCTTGGAAAAGTTTTACCTTCATAATGAGTAAAACACAATGCAAGAAAAGGAGAAGAAAATTCAAGGTCAAGATTAATTACGTGTGTTTCCATCGAACCAAAGGTATAGAATTCATCACGTATTATCACGTATAAAGTTTTCCATCTTCTCTAATATAATATTCTAAATATTTCAACAATATTTTTCACTGGCGATTGAAAATATTCCGCAATCGATACAGCGTGAATCAACGAATCCACGTTACGTAGATCGGAACTAGCTGTAAAAAATGTTTCTTCGTTACTCAGCCGTCGCGCGTTCAAATCCTCCGTGGCTGATACGTACCATCTGTCCAAGTAGATAGATTCCACGAGAATCTGGCCTCGTATGTAAAAGACACTAGACTAGTTCGTCGGACGAAAGCGGATCGCAGAGCCCAGAATATTATCCGGTGAGATAAAGTTTCCGGTGGCGGAGGTTGGAAAACGTGCGACGACGAGGAAGGTAATCTCGGGATCTAGACGCGGGAACGAAGGCAGGCAGGCAGGCAGGCTGGCGCGCACGGGGAAGGTATGATGGAGGCAGTGGCGCGTGAATCTGTACTATGGACTAGGCGCTGGGAGAGGGAGGGGGGGAGGGGGGAGAGGGCATAGAGAATCGAGGCGAGACGAAACGATTGAAGAAAGAAGAGAAAGGGGTAGAAAGCCGAAAGGAAGAAGAGAAAAGGGGGTGAAACTTAACGGCTTGGTTGATTCCCAGACGCGTGATTTCTAGATCAAACACTCGAGTAGCGTTAAGAAGGAAGTTGGGAAGGGGTGCTTATTCGAGTTGGCTGGCCTCTGCTAGGAAAAAAGGGAGGTGTCAACGAGCTGTTACGGAGGGATCGAAATTGGGGGACCCGCTCGTTTTTTTCTTCTCTTCTCCTTCATCTTCTTTTCTCCGTCTCGTTTTTTTCTACTACCCGTTCTTCGTATATTTCGATCTCTCTCCCGGATCTATCCCCGGCGAGAAGAGAGAGAAAAGGAGGGGAGGAGGTGTACAGGCAAGAGGATTTTTCGACATTATTTAAGGAGCCCTTCACAGTCTATTCTCGAGGAAATCAACGGTCGAAATTGGAGTGGCAGCGGGAGTGAGTCTTGTATCTACACCTTCCGCCCCTTTTTTCTAAGTATACAGAAGAACGTAATACCTTCTGAAGCATCGCGGGGTAAACAGAGAACCCAATGGTTCCCGGACCCCGCCGATCCGATCGCCACGAGTTGTTTGATTTTGGCTTTCGGGCCTCGAGTGATTTGAGCGGATTTGCGCGTCGACGGACACGCAAGTGCTTCTGGACCCTGAGAATTCTCGATTCTCAGGAAGATTGAAGTGCCCGGCGAAATCTTTTTTATTCGATTTTTACTTGCGAAAGTTTACCGGTTGTTGTCCGATTACGGTAATATTTCGGACAGTAATTTAGAATTTTCGAACGTGAACGAAAAATCAGCTAACGGTCGAATGCATTCTCTAGATACATATTTGTATAGAGCAAAGAGATTCTCGTTTGCACTAATACGCTGCACGGTAAATTTATTATGTATAAACGAATGAATTTGATAGTTAAACAAATGAATAATTTGACAATTAACTTCTTAAAGAAGTTGATTCGTAAATTCGTCGAATTGACACAGTTTTATATATATTTTTTAATTTTTGCTCGATATGTTTGCTTGTTTACTCTTATCATTCGCTTTCAATCGTTAGTTACTCGCATCGAGTTTATACCACGCGACTCGTTACCGGATAAAACGATTATAAATCATTCATCTTTCTTTTTTTCTTCGTAGAGAATTTAAGACCAGAGGGTTGCTTAATTACCAGTATTAAATTACCAGAGTATAAATCCTTGGCAGAAATTATTTTGTAATAAATTTATTCACTTGAACATGACTCGCTGACATAAATCAAAACGATAACGACTTTATCACTATCGACTGGTTTAATAGCCGCTCCTTTGACGCTGCTTCGTTCGACGCATCGTATACCAGACGAATCCTGTGTTCCTACCTAGTGTCGTTTCAGCTATTTCAATTGCTGGAAAAGAAATATCGAACTATCGAAAAGAAATCTTCTCGAATTTTTCATTAATACGAACAACATGGTTACACGTAATTAATAACGAAGGAAGGGGGGCATGTGAGGAGCATGTGAAATAAACGGCACGAGTACGTAGCAGTGTATGAGCGTGTATTTGACAGTGTTTTTTTTTTTCTCTCTCGTACGGCGGCACACATTATTAGAATTCGCAGTACGTACGCGATTTAAGGTTGGAATGTTATATTTATTGCTAGTTGCTCCGGGCGTGCTGCGCTCGTAGTAACGAGCTGCTTCGGTAACGGAACCGGGCGTTCTCGATACGATTAATACTGAGGATCGGTAAGCGGTTGGAAAACGATTTCGTTTAGCTCGGATGCCGGAGGTCGTTGGACATCGAGAGCAGATAATGGCCCTGTTCGGTCGTAGTCCTTCTCTCATAGAAAAATCTGAGTTCTTAAACTTATTGGCTGGTGTCCAACGTCCGCCGCCCATGGGAACGCAATCCTCGATTTCCCCTCGATGCGTGTACGAGCGTGGCACGTCCGGGATACATCGACACATCGATTTAGTGGGTAACAGGTGGGTCTCTATATTACAACGCGAATTACAATGTAGAGTAACATTATCATCATCATCATCATCATCATCATCATCATCATCATCGTCGTCGTCGTTCGTTATACAACAATCATTAATTATTATCATCGTTTCATCGCATTCGATCATCGTGGTGTGCTTAAGACAAGTCGGTATTAAATATCTTACATACACATCATATATATTTATACATACATACATAAACATATACATACATATATATATGTATGTATGTATATAACATTCCCTCTTTCTTTTCATACACATACACACACGCATGCAAACACACACACACACACACACACACACATATACGTGTGTATTTATATCTCACCATTTTTTCTTTATTCATTATATATACTATCTATCTATAGGGTAGTCAGATTCATCTCTCGTGTTTCATTCGTTTCCTCATCTTATTTCTTCTGCCGGTTTGGGTTTGTCGATTGTGAGAAAGTAAGAAAAGAAAGAAAAGAAGAAAAAAAAAAAGGAAAGAAAAACAAAGAAGGGAGGAATTCAGACAGGTCACTGCGGTGCTCGAGGTCAAGGCACGCGTCAATCAACCGGGTTTATCCCTCCTGCTAATTTCCTCTCGCGTTATTAAAAATGCTACTTGCTCTCGTCAAATGCTAAACGCAACTATAGATACTCCGTGGCCGCTCCGAAATATCGGAATGTCGTAGTAGAAAAAATGTCATCGTGAAATTTCGTAATACACGTATATAGATATATATAAAAACTAAACGCCAACTGACTTGACATCGAGCAAACTGACGATTCTGAGGAAGGATACTCGTCGGTGATTCTGTCTTTCGCTCGTTTCGAGCATCGGTTCTCATTGTGCCGCGATTCTCGACGCAGTGACGCTACATTTACACATACCAAACGAGCAAGTTAATCTTTCAGTGGTGGAGTTACAATATCGTTTATCTGTTTCATTCTTCCTTAATAGTCAACTGCTGGCATTTTCTCTTTTTTTTTTTTTTTCTTTTTATTTTGTTTTGCGCGCGAAATTTTATCGTACTTAGCTTGCACGCGCCACGCGCCGACAGACGAGATCGTGAAAAAACAAAAATCGCGCGAGCGGTGATCCTGTAGTTTCACTCTGCCTCGTAGCCGCGATACTTCGAAAATGATTCGACGGAATTGGGAAACCTTTCTTCCCGAAGAAAGGCGCCAGAATGAATGCAACTGACAGAGTAATTCCGCATTGGTGTTTATTTTCAATTCACACTTCTCGGTTTATCGAACGGAGCGTGGCACTTCTACGAACAATTTGCTGTCTACTTTTTTTTGCTTTTTCACCGACACGTACAAACACCGTTCGGGGTGGTGGTAATGGGGCTTTTACGCACTGCCACTCGTACGAAAACGAAAATTAACTAATCAGGTATTGAGTATTTTCGGATTTAAGACTGACAACGTAGTAGGTGAGAAGAAAGTAAGTACAACGGTGAGAATGACGATCGTTCAAACTAACGCGAATATGAGTAGGATTATATATCGAATAAAAAAGAGAAATAATTGCATTGTTACGTATCTTACGTTCGTCAAAAAAAAAAAAAAGAAGAAGAAGAAGAAGAATGAGGAGGAAAAAGAAGAAGGTGATGATGAAATTCTTAATACGGAACAACGAAATAAAATGATATATATCGATTGATCTGTTGATTGATCACGAAACGTTAAATTCTTTTAGAAGCCGGCGAACTGGCGGTCATGCCCCTACTTTTCTGGTCGCTAGCGCTATCCCCTCCACTGCATCAGTGGCAAAGTGGGGGCTAGCGCTAGCAACCAGGCCGGCTTTGTTCTAGAAGAATAATTTGAAAAGGAAAGAAGAATGTACGATAAATAATGAGTAGTAACGAACAAAAAAAAGGAAAGGAAAATAGCGACAAGTAAAATAAAAGAGAGAGCAGCGCACATTTCCGTATATACACAGAGTGATATACGAGGAAAAGGTGTTCTCGGGCGGTTTGGTTTTCGTACTATCTAAACATGTGATTTCAATAAATAAGCTACCTAGGGAGCGAGTTCATTTTTAGGGATGGGGGGAGGGGGGAAGGGGCAGGCGCTCCTTACGTGGCGAATCTGCGAAAAACGAAGGAATCAGGGATATGGCTCCGTGCGGCCTTGTCTTGAGTTCGAACGACGAAACTCGTTCGAGTTTTGGTCGCCGATTTTGGAAACAATAACGTGGGAAACAAAGCTTGCGGGAGGGGGGAGGGGTAAGGGGAAGAATAGAAAAGTCGCGAGGCCGTGAGGAACGTGTACCTCCGATTCTTTTCGTCGAGTCGCCACCGCGTCATATATTCGTGTTACCTAACCTAGTAATACAGTCTGCGATAGCATCCTAAGGATTACAACACTTCATTAACGATCGTATAATATATTACACGCAGTCACACGCAGTTCACAGAGGCAGATATACGTACGCGCTCCAGAATGCACACAAATACTTAAGCTCGTACACGAACACGCAGTTTAAGCCGATAACTCTCTCAGTAACTATCTCACTCTCATTCCTATATATCAGAAAAATAGATTTTTCTGTATGAATTACACTCGTTCGTCGGCGTTGACGAAATCGCGCATCGAAAATAATAATTATCATTTCAAATACATCGTCGTATAAAATACTCAGAGATCCCGTTCATTATTATTTGTATGCGTCCATTATTGCGTCGAAACACCGTTCTTTTTTCTCTCTCTCTCTCTCTCTCTCTCTCTCTTTTCTTCTTTTTCTGAATACGAAAAATATATATACACTATCGCGTGTCTTGCTCTCCTGGGGATTGTGTATACCGATTCTCTGTTTAAGAAACAGTCGTCTCTCTCTTTGTTCGTGTCGTGTGTATGTATGCGTGTGCGTTATCCGAGTAGTCGACTGTCGCACGCACCTGTCTACATCTTTCTCTTCTTTCTTTCTTTTTTTTTGTTCTTTTTCTTTTTTTTTTTTTTTTTTTTTTTTTTTTTTTTTTTTTTTTTTTTTTTTTGGTTTTCCTCTCTATACATATTTCCCTTTTTATACAGTATAAATAATATCGATCGGAATTAAAATGTAAAAAACGGTCAGGTGAACGGAGCCAGCAGAGTTGATAAACGATAGCGATTTGCGATAAAGGGATCGCATCGCTGTCGAGCTTCCTCGACTTCGAAACGGGACGCGACGGTGAGAACTGCGTGTACGTCGCGAGCACGCACGCACGCACTCACGCACACACATTATTCATACACGCAGGCAGGCAAGCGCGTACGCACGTACGCACACACGCACGCACGCACGCACGCACGCACGCACGCACGCTACATTAGGCGGCGTAATTAGCACAGCGAGCGAGAGAGTCTTTGCGCAGCGTGAGGCTCTACTGCGCCAGCGCGCCAAAGAGTTTATTACATACCTTTTTCTTTTTTTTTTTTTTTTTCAGCGCGCGCTCCTACTCCGCGAGTAATCTACGCGAGTTTCCTTCCTTCGTCGACTCGAATCTTATCCCCGAATTACTGTGCAACCTGTGCAATTGTCGCTCCGTTAAATCTCGAGTCTTCCGCTACCGGAAGAAGAGAGAAAATCGGTCACGGCTGATCAACGATTTATTTTTCCCCCCCTCGGTCCAAGTTCGACACCAAGGAGAAAACACACACTTGCAATAGATAGAGGCGCGCTGTCGGCGTGCATCTCTCTCTCTCTCTCTCTCTCTCTCTCTCTCTCTCTCTCTTGGGGCGCGTCTATTGGCGGTCTGTGACATTTGCGCTTGAAGCACGGCTAGCTATCCGATTGCGCAACGATTTAGGCCGATCGCGCGCGCAACGTATTAATTCTTCCATCGCTAAACGATCATCCGACACTGATCTTCCGACACTGTCATTCGCTTGTCTGTTCTTTCCCTCTTGGAAACTTTTTTTTTTTCTACATCTCTCCCGGTAGATTTTTTTCTTTTTTTTTTTCCCCCTTCAGTTTTGTGCGAGAAACGTTTGGACATTAAACAATGAGGTTTTCACGATAATCGATGATCGGTGAAAATGAAAGGGGAACGGTATCAAAAAATTTAGCGACGGAACGAAATGAGCAGGGGGAGCGAGAAGGGAACGAGGGTAAAAGAAGGCTTTTGGAGAAGAGAAAGAGAAAGATAGAGAGAGAGAGAGAGAGAGAGAGAGAGAAAAGGTAAAGAAATTGAAATGATATCGTGCATACTTGCCTGAAAGGATTCAGTCGGGGCAAGTGTGTGAAATGGAATTTAACGAAAGCTCTAGCCAACAAGACTGTCATCCTGCAATTTGCAGTGCGCTCGTCGAACAAGTGTTTTTCGTTGTCTGCTGCTGCTTGTCTCGTGTCTGTCTCTGCGTGTGTGTGTGTGTGTGTGTGTGTGTTTGTGTTTGTGTGTGTAGCGATACCACTGTTGGTCGGGATGATTGTTGTTTGTCGTAAGTACGCAAGCGAGCAGGAGACACAGAGGGGGCGGGAGGCGAGCTTAGCTTTGTTCGTTGCGATCAATCGAGGCGCGTGCTTCGAGCCGCGTTTCACGTGGTGCCGCGTGGTTGCCGTGGGTTTTCCTGACATCTCGACCGGTACGTATATATCACCATGCGTAGTATTTGGCAGTCTGATCTCAGGTGTTCTCGCAGGTGTGAATGAGAGGCAGTCTTGATCGGCGAGCCCAGTGCGCGGCTCAGTACTTGTTCGCCTCGAACAGAGGGCTCTCGAGTCGTCTCCGCGACGCGGAGATCTTCTCGGCTGGGCGCAGCTTCCAACTTCGATGCCGGTAACGGTGCGTCGTGTGAACGATCTCCCTCGTGCTGTCGGTCTGCGACAGCAAGTTCTTGCTGGCCCTCATCACCGGCGACGGTTTCCTCGACACCACGTACGGGTCCATCCCGCCCATGTCCGCGTTCACCAGGTTGTTGTGGTGATTTATGTCCGCGTGGGGATTGTACTTGATGAAATTGAAGCACTCCTGCCGGCCGCGGTTCTTCACCGGCTTGCCGAACTTGTTGAAGCCCAAGTATCGCGAACTGTTCACCACGCTTCTGTACGTCAGATACGAGCCGTTGTAATCCTCGTAGAACTGACACCTAGAGTTCTTCTTCTTCTTGGGCTGCGAACAGAAAAAATCACGGACGTTTGATGATTCGTTGGTTCGCGACGTTCCGACGACTCGACGAACTTCATCTCAGCAAAAATCTCGACTTGGAATTCAAACAGACGAACGTTTGTCGTCGCCTTGGCAACGCGTGCGCGAGAGATCGTTTGTACTTGCGATTGAAATTGTGTAGATTTTTTTCAATGCCGTCGCTCGCGGACTGTACTATAAATAAAGAGTCATTCAAGCGACAAACATTCCGGCGAACGATGAATGTAAACGTTCGAGTCGTATAATTCAGTGCATTTGCCGATGCTAAATTTACAACGCCGGCGATGACGAGATACGTCTACTAATTGACAGGCAAGTAATTACCAAGCCGATGGGTTTCCACCGCTCGTTGAAACAAATATATCGTTGGCTTTTCTCCGCGAAGATGTACAACTTCCTACTGAAGTCCTCGGACTGAGTCGTCAGTTTTTCTGTAACATTCAACACAAAAGAACAAATCTAATTATCGCACGTACACAATTTTGTTTTTTTTTTAATTACTAGGACAGAAATAAAAATATCGAAATATTCGTCACGTAAATTTCTCGCGTTTCAGGTGTGATTCACGGAGATTGTAAATAATTGGGCCACGGTTGGGCAAACTTTTGCGTACAATTTTCTACATACGTCGCCATTTATCTTATGATTTTTTTTAAAAATATGTATACTATGAATTTATTCAATATTTACTTCTCCTCTTGTTTCTTTTTCCCGAGAAATATATGTAGTCATATGTCAATTTGAACGGTTGAAAAATTGATACTTGGTCTAAAACTATACAATCAGTTCACGAGAAAGGCTATGTGAGTGGAGATGCTATGAAATGATTGATAACAATGTTTCGTTGCAAGAGTACACGCAGGAATACTTCAAAAGAGAGCATCACGGTATAAAAGTTCTAAAGTGTTATCTTTGCATTTCAAGTTTTAAGTGCAGTACTTTATCTAAATACGAAAGTTTGTGTTTCGCGGCGAATATTTATCCTAAAAGTATCAAGGCGTTCAAAAGATATGAGATTATTAGGAAAAATAATTAACATGGACGAAGAGTGTTCGAAAACTTTTTGAAACTGAAAATGAGATGGTGATCTATTTGACACATCCTTTCTGGAGACTCTAACGGTTAATGAAGGGAAGAAGAAGAAGACAAGGATTAGTATATAAGTTCCGAAAGTGAGAGTGATGATACCTAGTTGACAATTATCTACGTTCAAGTATAAAAAATATTACTTTCTTTTAGAACCGATCATTTTCACCGGTCACGGTAGGAGTAGGCATACACAAAGTGTCGGTAGGTTTAACATCAATAATGATCGAAATGACCAACGTATAATTTTTGTTACATATTTCACGTGATTCGGCGGGAAACAACGTATTTCCAAAGAATTAGATCATTTTTCTCGTACACTCCATTGTATGCATCGTAAAGTTTCTCAATTTTTTTGACCGTCTCGGTCCGTCTCTGATGGGAATTTCATGCCTCGACCGAGTGGACAGTTGCAGCTGAGTTAACGTGGAAAGCGAACAGCTTGCTTCCCGATCGAGGAAGCAAACGAGGAGCAGCGGCTGGACAGTTGGAAAAGCAAAACGGAGTTAATAAAACGAGGCGAAGGCATTAGTTATCGGGGACAAACGGGCAGGATGCAGGAGGTGAACGGTATGCGTTCGGTGCGTTCGGTATGCGAGCTGGGCATATTTCCGAGAAGAGATCTCGTCTCGAGGTTTATAGCGCGAGTTGTTGTACCTACATCGATGCTCGGCGAGAGAGCGACCCTCTCTTGGCGGAGGCAGGCAGCACTCTTCGGCAACTGAGAAAGGAAGAAAAGGTTGGCTAAGCCTGCCGCCGAGGCTAGTTGGTGCTAATGAAGGAGGCACAGACCGACCGGTGTGTACTTTGCCACTTAGCGGGTCCTGTCGTCGTGCCTCGACCCCGAGCCGGTGTGCGCGTTCCGCGCTACGCTCGCTGCCGCAGCGTTGCTTGCCCTCTGTCTCCCTTTTTCTTTCGCACCAGCTATTACGAAATTCTGCCGACCCGAGAGAAGTAGGCGTCCTTTGTTCCGGATAACCAAAGGAAGGAAAAGAAAAATGAAAGAAAGAAAGAGAGAAAATGAAGGGCTTACAGGTGCGCAACGCTTTCCAGAGAGAACGACGGCGATCTTGGAAGAGAACGATCGCGCTCGACTACTTTGCCTACTTCTGAGATTTATTTTCAAATTCTCGTGGTTCACTAGGTTACTCCGCCGGACGCTAATTCTCTCTCTCTCTCGATAGAAAGAAGAAAGCGCGGTGATAATGCGGACGAGAACTGTTTTCGCAAACATCGTAACGAAAATTAAATAGAAACGAAGCGCAGCTTGATCGCCAACTGTTGAGAAAACTGTTCCACAACTAGGATAAATGGGAAGCCAAGATAAACGGTGATAGTTATTTAAATGGAAACTTGGTCGAATCTCCGTGGAGGTACGATTTACCCGCATTCGCTCGAAATAATAAATTTTCGCTGCCAACGGGGTGATGCAGGGTCTCTTTAATTGATAGAGGCTCGACGATACACGAAATATATATATATATATATACGATGTTACGATTACGAGTTTTTCTGGCTTCTTTGTTTGCGGGCCACACGAGAAATGGGTATAAGCATGATATCGTATAGAGAAAAGGAAGGAGACAAGTCTGCAGGGTGGCCCATTTGCTGGAGCCTCGTTAAATTCAAGTGGTTCTCGTCGGGTGCCTTCCCAACATCGAAATCAAGAATGTCCCCGAACTGCCTCGTAAACTCCCCCCCTCTCTCTCTCTCTCTCTCTCTCTCTCTCTCTACTGGCTGGCCTCTCTTTCCCTCTTTCGTTTTCCTTTTACATTTCGTTTTCTCTCTTTCTTTCTTTCTCGTCGCCTCCTACCAGTCTTCAGGAACCAGAAAAAGCGCAAGAGGACTTAATCTGTGTGTGTGAGAGAGACTGTTCTCTCCGACAAACCGACCGCGTTTTACACTCCGCGCCAATTAATTGTGCCACTTTTCTTAATTAATTGAATTCACCTTTGGACGGACGTCTATCGCGGCGACATCCCTTTTCAGCCGGCGGGGATCAATTTGTCCCTTTTCTCGGCCTTCTGTAACGAACTTATCTTATCTGGGCCGGGATGGTGATTCTTCGCGATTATCCTCGATAAGTCGAACGTTTAACTGATATAAGCAAGATTGATATACGATGTTACTTGCACGCTTGATGATAATTCAATCAAGCACAATGATTCGCGAAAAAAATTTCAACCCGTCTTTGCTGCGAGGTGGTAGCTTAGCGGTAATCTCGATTCACCGGCTCGGTGATTTGAAGTGTGGAAATCGAAAGTCGAAGCTCGAAATTTGATCGAATTTCGTCGCAAAAATTACCTGTCGAGGTAATTTTATCAACAACGGAGGAGGGGGGAGGGGATCGTAACAAAATCGAATATCGTTGTTTTCCTCGAACTTGATAACAAAAAGTTGGCGAAAAATATATTGCACCAAGTATCGTATACGTATATATATTGTTCAAGCCGCACGAATCGAATCTGCCCGAAATTACCCGAGCCACCAGTTAAGGATAGTTCCGTGAAATTCCGGCGAATACGGAAATATAATGGGCATTATCAGCGATAAAGTTGCGTTCTGGTAAAGTACGCGTCCGCGGGCAAACAAGTTTCGAAACTATCGCCAGAATTTTCCCTCCTGTGTTCCGTTTCGCGACGTTCTCCGATATGAAACACGATGTAAGTGCAAGAACCACGTCGTGTACGTGTGTAGGTACGTACCTGCGTGCTGTGTAGCCGCGGAGAAAAGTATGACGATAACAACCTGACACTAATACTCCCCGGCAACTCTCCGAGGAGAGTTGGTACGTATGTATATATACAGGCTGTTCTGTTTGCTCGTTCCAGTTAGCCATTACCAAACTCCTATACTTCCGATACCTAGTCGCCGTCGAAGCGATCGCCGGCGAAACTTGGACGGTTCGTTTTTAAATGATGCTTATCGTTATCAAATGAGGGAAGTGAGACTGTTCTGGCGCGGCGTGGCACGGCACGGCACGGCACGACACGACACGACACGCCGATGCTCGGAACAATGACGGGGTATATGGCATTTGTTACCAACTTGCCAGACGTGCGATGACTCGAGACAGGCGTCACCGGCACGCTGATTGCAATGTTTTGTCTAACCGACCACACTAACAATAAGTAATCTCTCCTCTCCTCGAAAGCTTGTCAACCGAGTTTCCCGCGCAACTCGAACAGTATCTCGTGGTTCCGAGACACTGGCTGGTACTCAAAGTTCGCCGCGCGAGCACGTAGTTGTTTCTTTTTTTCTTTTTCATTTTTACAGTTAGAAAGTAATGTGATAAAATCAAGATTCCATTTTATCACATTACTTTCTAATTTGTGTTTGAATATATAGTTTTCATAAACAAATGTTCAAGAAATTTACTTGGAAAAATTTATAAAAAATATAATAACATTTTTTTAATAAAGGAAGTTCTTTTGCCGTTCGAATTCGTTTTTAAGAAGGGATAATTTATAATCTACACAAAATACTCTATCTTCAATAATTTCCGAGATATTTGACAAAATATGTTCCGCACTTCCAACTTTGAGGATAGCTTTCACCCTCTCGACATAGATGATTAAAAAAAATACGGGTCAGATATTTTTTTAAAACTACTTTTATGCCAAATTTCATCAAAATCGGTACGTCCCCTTGTTAGTCATCCATAGTCCATAGTACATACTTGTATTTAACGCTAAAATTATCGGCGACTAAAGCATAGAATTTCCATTAGAAATACTAAAGTCAAAAGCTTCGATTTATACATTTTGCGGGAAATTGTTTAAAATCTCCAAAAATACACAATGTTTTATATCTATAAAATTTCTAATGAAAATTATGAATCGATCATCTTGAAGCACTTTGCTTCTCTAGTGTTAAAAGAGTGAATTAGAGCATGGATGTCCAACAAAGTTTTGAGTCTTCCAGGCCTCATTTAACAAAAAAATTTGTTAAAGGCCGCATACAGTTCAATATAATCTTATATTAATTACGATATTAAAATAATTTTTACAGCGATATTGAAACAACTTGTACATTGATTAGAAAAATACATCAATGAAAAAAATATGAAAATTTTTAACGAGAACATTGAACTTTTTTTTTATATACCAGTTTTTCAATATCTGCTTTAACCAGGTCCAGTGGCACTACGAATACTTTGAAGATGCTCGTACAAAATTTTTGTTCCCACTTTATTTTTCGAAAAATCTGCTCGCAAATACAAGTATTTTCTAAAAAGAACGTGATGAACATTTGTAGTTAAAATTATTCAACTAATAAGATTCTTATTCAATTGTTCCAATTTGTTGTACAGCACGTGGGTTGGACATCGTACTTGCCCTAGACGACCGGTAATTTCGAAACGAGTCGTTCGTCTAATCGATCGGGGCTTGCACACGCGTGCACGTTTATGCGAAGAATATGGCACAAAAGACGACGAGACAGGGGGATGAAGCGGTAGCAGCGAGCGAGAACGTTGCATTTCGCTTCGAACCTCTGTCTTCCGAAGTCTACCCAAGAGTTTCCCCTCTCTGCCCGGCTGCCGTTTCCTCTGATCGGAGCCGCCACGAGATTAGAGGCTGCCAAATGAATTAAAAGCCAATTTTAATCAAAAGCGGGCACCGGCTTTTAGGCACGATTACCCCCGATAATAACTGGTAGGATGGGCCCCGGCGCGCAAGCGGGAGAGAGCGAGACAGAAGGGAAAGAAGAATGGATCCCATATATTACTTCTACGTGCTCTTCGCGATACAGGAACCGATTCCCCCGGGTTCGTTATAGGTTCGCAACTAATAACTTTTTTTTCTGTAGGGAAGAATCTCCGCTCGTCGAGAGTGGAACGAGCCTTTGGCCAAGAAGGAGCAATTCGATTAGCCGTTACGAGCCAATCGAAAGTCCATGGAAGAGAAATGAAATGAAAAGGAAAGAAAAGAAAAGAGGGCAGATGAAAATTTAGATTGAGAAAATCCAGACCAAGTTGCAAATTTCGTCGACCTCTCTCGGCGGCTGGTGGAAACTTTTTTTTTTCATTGAAAATCGCGTGAGAACCACTGGGAGCGCCACACAATTTCGCGGCGTCGGCGTTATGAAAGCTATAATACGACGCGAAAGCGGGCAGACCGCGTAAGTAGAGGAACGAGGGGGGAAAAAGCGCAAAAGAAAGGTGGAGAGGGGGTGAAAAAAGCAACAGCAACAACAACGCGGGTATAAACGCGGTTCTTGTTATGAGCCTGGCACGTATAATAGCGATCCTGTCGTTAACACCTAAACGCACGGGATCGTCCCTCAGGAGCATCCACCGTGAATGCACGAGATTACAACGGGGCACGCAAATGAGAGGAACACGTGTTGTCCCAGCGCTTTCTCTCTCTCTCTCTCTCTCTTTCTCTGGTCAAAACTGTGACAGGCGAAGCCCTGATTTGCCCCACTGACGCGATAATCACAGCTCTCCGCGACTAGAATAATTAAATTCCGATCAGAACGAACTCGTTGCACCGTTGAGAGGGTTCATTTTCTCTTCCCCTCGTTCCCCGTTAGGTTTTCTTCCCCTCGTTTCAGGGTGCTGCGACACTTCTTCGTACGAAAGATATCGTCGGAGATGTTGCCAGTCATTTGAGAAGATTGGAGCCGGTGGATCGCGTGATTAGGGCCGTTTAATCTGATAAAAATGTCACGAGGATCGATGTAATTACGACTGTTGCACGATTCGACGAACAGAGTGTAACACTCTGGGTAGTAACGAGTTGATAATTGTTATTTGCCTTCGGAGTTTTACCGATAATAGTTATTATCGAATTACGTTTGACACGCGTTTGAGATTGCCGTTCACGGTGATACGCGGCTGGTGTCTGTCGCGGTGGTTGTAATTATCGTCTGGAACGTGGCGGTCGGTTAAATCGTGTTATATAATAGACAGATTTGCAGTCAATTTGTCAATTTTCGATCGTGGAGAAGAAAATGAAGAAAATTCGATTCGTCGAAGAATTGGCGCTGATACGTATAGATACACGTTTCAAACGCGGCAAAGTAACACTGGCGCAATTAGCGAGGAGTATGTAGGTATGAACGAACGGAGAAAGAACCTCTCCACGCGAGGTTAATTATCTTTTACGAATCCACCGACGCGGAGGGAGGAATTCGCGGAGCCGTTAACCGGCAGTTGGAGTCCGAAAGCTTCAAGGACGCTCTCACGGTGTCTGAAACCCCCCACACGGTGGAAGGCGGGTCGGGTCGGGTTAGGTTGAGTCGACTCGACTCGACTTGAGTCGAGTCGAGTCGAGTCGAGTCGAGTCGGTTCATTTCACGAATGGAGTTTGAGTAATCGTCGGTCAGGAGAGGTTCGTTGTCGGGAGTAAAGTGCCGAGAAAGAGGGGGAAAGAGAGAGAGAGAGGAGATACGGAGTAACAGAAGGAAAAGGTGGAACTGCAACGGCAGCAACGGCAGCGGCAGCGGTGGTAGCGGCAGACGAAAGAGGTGGAAAAAAGGAGGAAGAGGTGGACGAAGGTGATGGATCTGTGGGGAGGTGCAGACGCGGCGCAGCGTGCGGCGCGAAAACTGGCTCCTCTGTTTGCACAAGCACAAGCCTTCTTCCCTCCTTTCCAGGCCTTCCTTCTCTCCCCTACCTTTGGCCCCAAAGAGTCAGAAAAGGAGCCGCCTCGCGCCGATAGGGCGGACAGCTCGTTGTTGCTCCTGCACGCTACGAATACCTTTGGAAATTCCACGACACCGGCGAAATCGGTATTCCAACCTCTGTGATTACCGCTCCTCTTCTCGAGGAGCTGAACAGTGTGAATTCTTTCGAACGATAAGTATTCCGCACGAATACGTCGTACTCTCGATAAACGGGAAACGACAAGTTTCCTTCAGAGGTTTCACACTGTGCGAGGTTTTCTCTTTGTGCCTGCCTGATGTCTTTAAACTGGACTCTTTAAACTGGACTCGTAGAAGAGTGGAAACGATCTCTCGGACCTGTAGAGGCGCGACGACGACTTGCTTCTGACAAATAGGCAAGGAAAAAGGCGCGCGAGTCTCTTTGTCTGGACGCAGAGCCAATAGAAGAGAGACAGATGGAGTCTAGTCGAAAACAATCGGAAGAAAATGTGGAGAGGACGAGAGATCGTTCTCTTTCGCAAACTTGCTTTCGTAACTTTCTTTTGGGTTGTAGTAGGTGAGCCCGCTTCACGGAAACGGAGTTCGGTTATTAGTTCGTAAAGATGAAGATGGAGATCGGATGGGGACGAGGACGGGCGCTCGGTAGCGAAAGCGAACGAGATAACGCGCTGACCCCTGGCTCGATCGATAAGAATACCTATAAATTAACGTCTTTAATGCTCCAGACTTTGCTTTCGACTTTTATTTCTTCGCGAGAACGAAGAGGAAGAAAAAGAGAAAGAGAGAGAGAGAGAGAGAGAGTCACACGCTAATCTTTCGTTCGGAATCCTTTTGGGTCTGGGAAACTATCGATCGAAAGAGATAACGTCACGGTTCGTGTGCCTCGGAGTCGGGCGACTACCCGATTCGATTCGATTAACCGATCCAGCTATCCTGTATGTACAATGACCGCACACGACGACGCAGCGACGACGAATTTATTCGAAAGCCAGTTTTAAACGCCAGTGTCGCGTGGCTGCCCTCCTTTCCAAACACCTTAACAATAAATCATGCTCCACCGATCTACGAACGAGTCTTTTGATCCTGAACACCTTTCACTACTTTATCATCTTGGTCAGCACACGCACGATACTGCTGATACGTTTCAATACGTCGCGTTATTCTTTTCAAACGGGGCACGTTGATTTACTAAATGCTAAGCGCCGGATCGACCATAAATCCAACGGCTGAGGATATCGTTGCCGCGATACGCGTGGCAAATTTTACAAAGTCGAGAGATTTATTTAGACGTGCGTAATTGTACCGTGAACTTTTCAGTGGACTAGGTTTAAGCACTGCGATGAGGAAATTGACATTCAAACAGGACGCGCGAATAAAGCGAAGAGAAGGTTCGCGGAACGATTCGCAGGTGTTTCCGTTTCAAGTGTAAAACGATCGGTCCTCTGGCAAAAGTAGCGTGATTAATTATGGCGTTACTTACGATAAGGGGCATTCAGATCATCGCGTACCACGGCCTTGATCGAGCGGCCAATTACGGTAACATTGCCGCTGCTGCAAGTCGAGTAGAGACTCACGGAGCGCACCATTGCCGGCACCGCCCCGCACATCACCACCTGAAATTCACAAAGTTCTTCAATTTATACCGATTCTACTATTAATAAACGAGTATTAATAAACGTTCATTAAACCTTATCGACGGAGACACACCGTTAATTTCCTTCATTAGAAAAATAAACATTTTTTTTTATTCGAAACTAAAGAAAATAAAAAATTTTATTTAAATTTTGCAAGAAGCTAAACCAAATATAAAACATATACGTACACATATATTTCACAATATAATCGCAGAAATAAAAAAAAATTTAACCCGTATAAAATTACAAATTTAACATTTTGAGAAATCAACAATTTTATCTGTGATAGGCGTTATCTGTAATATCTGTTAATTTTAGTGCATATTTCGTTGCCGAGTTTATATTCCACTCTTTTAAAATTTCGATGTTACGACAATAAACGTTTTATCACACTTCCGCCGTCACGCTAAAATCTTAACTGCAAGTGAGGTGATGTAACAGACAACAGAGTTCAATCCGACGCCAAATGGCGTCATCGTCCATAGATAAGGTGTTAACGTTCAAAGCCAAATAAATTATCGAGACGTCGATCGATTCTGGGTACGATCGATTCTTATAACATACCTCGAATAGAATAAAACGGCGAGTAGAAGAAGGTTTTTGCAGTTCGACGGCCGAAAAAACGCGTAATCGTTAAAAACGTCGCGGAAACACCAGAGCCGATGTTTTTTTTTTTTACGACTGATTCGCAAGTATTCGTGGGCATCGAGTCATTCGTCGAGTCGTTCGCGTGGATCCTTCTTGCGGTTCGTTCGTTCGTTGAGAATAAAAATTCACGACGATCGAGGAGTGACTCGGTGAGGAGGGGAGGCCGACACGTCGTCGTTGCAGCCAAGAGACCACAAAAGACGTACATATATACACACCGACGAGACAAGATTTGTTAACGAGCGAACACGAGCTGTCCATTAATGATCGTAGATTCCGACGCTTCTTTTTACTCGTGGAAACGGCGCCGTGACAACGTTACGACGGTGACGTCGGCCCGGAACTCGACGTCAGGCCAAGTAGGTGTTTCGGCCGCTTCGTGTCGCGGTTATAACAGCGTCGTAAAGCGCTTCTCTTTGACTCTTTAGTGCTTATTATTAATTACGGGGTGGTCGTGCTCGTTTCGCTGGACGCCGCAGCGCCGCCGAACTTCGCGATGACAAGCTACACCTTTCAATTTCTCAATTTCTCTCTCTGGGAAACCACTCGTACGGTTGAAAGCGACCGACCTAGCTAGCCGAACACACCCGTTTGCTTTCCCACTTTGCTTTCAAAACGCTGTAAACGCACGGTCTCTGTGGTTTGCAGTTGTTTTTTGTTTTTTTTTTTTTTTCTTCTTCCTCTAACAACGAGTTTTCACGTGGCCGCGTTGCAGCGCTGCATCGTATATTTCTCGACGATAGATTCCTGATTTTCTAGTTAAACTGTACGTCAACTGTGCGTGCAATACGTCGGCATTGCGAATAATCCCTCCACGAGAATTCCACGTGCGAATTTAATGACACGTCTTTGCAACTTTACGCGTCGTTTATTAAGTTCCCTGCTTGCCGGTTGCAACCGTCGTGACAACAGTTGCTCGTTCATATTAGTTTCAATCTACTCGAAAACAATTCCGCCGCGGAGCGTCTAAATTTGTCGAAGTACGGTCGTTCGCGGATTATTATTCGCCGGATCGGCAAGCCCGTCCATCTCGCGCTCGACTCGTAAACCGGTGTTCAACTCGTTTAAACGTCGAGTCCGTTCGTTATCGTTCTATGGACGTTTTCTACGGATCGTAGATCGTAACCGATGCCAAAGCGAAATCTGCCCGCACGCGTTTCCATTTATCGAGCTGCCGTTCCGTTTCATTAACAGATCTGTCGTTCGAAGATTAATTGGACAGAAGCTGTAAGTTCACTCGAAAGTTATTTCGACGATCCTTGAATTCGTTCGCTTTTTATCGCCAGTCGTTCAGATCATTTACGAAACGAAAGAATTTTTCAAAAATTTATTACAAAGTCATGTATTCTAGCGTTTATTCGTGGAGTATAGGTCACTTTATCCGATTGTCAATTCAGATCAATTCAATTGGTGAGAAGACGTAAAATTTGTCGTCGAAATAACGTTAAAAAGTTAGAATAACGTTAAAGTAAATATTACTTATTGGTATTTGGTATTACTGTATATTATTATATAATTTATATAATAAATATTAATTTATATTATATAATTTATATAATAAATTATTATTATTTATGTAATATAATATTTAATATTTAATAATTTATGTAATATAATATTTATATAATATAAATTATTATTATTTAGTACATAGGCAATAATACTAAAAATACTTGGAACGAATTCTTTAAAAAATTGTTGGTTAAAGTGATACTTAAAAATTAAATTCTTTAGACACTTTTCTTGATGATTATACTTTTTGCAATATTATAAAACTTGTAAGACATACTTCAAAAGCAGAAATGTCAATCGTAATCGGCCTAAAGTAACCAAAAATCGGCCCGGCACGGATTGTGTTGACGAGACGATCAAATTCGCTGGTATCGAGCTTCGAAGTTAAAGTTTATTGCACAGCCTCTATAGTAGTGCTCGAAAAATAGACCATTAAAACGAGTACAGATGTAGATAGCCTGGTTCCCTTCGCGAGACGGAGATCGAGTATATGTATTGCCAGGTACCGAGTAAAAAATGTACGGACTATTAATAATTCCAAAAGAGTATTAATATATATCGCGCAGTACTTATATACAGAGTGATTCACGTAACTTGCATACCTGAAGTAACTTTTAAATTACGCGTCTAATGAAATTAGACAATCTTATCGTAAAATGTTTCCTTGACCATTAGGTTTATTACCAATGTGGCTTAGCACTTTTTTGGAATTTAATACTTTTCCCATTTATGATGAAAAAAAAATATATGACACAGTTAAAGGAAATAAAGATGATTTTGAAAATTTCGAAATATCTCCTCGACATATTCAAGAAACGGATACGCCGATATTTTGCCTTCTTCAAAACTATACAACTTTTCTATTCAAACAATTTTTCATCAGACGCATAATTGAAACGTTTATTCTGGAGGTGTGCAAGTTACGTGAATCTCCCTGTATATATGTGTGTGTATGTACCTTTGTGATTGATCGTAGGAGCGCAACGATCAATCCAGCGCGCGAACGCGATGGTCAATTTGCAAAGCGCCAAGACCAAGATTTTTAACACGCGATGCTTCTTGGCCTCTTCGTGTACTCGGTATCTTCGATCTGACCTAGTCACCGTTCCCACCACACAAAGAAAAGCTGGCACGTACCCGCTTATTGTACAATACGTATCCGTCGAATATAAGCATGCAAGTTTACGGATTCCGCACGCGAACGTGGCCAAAGCCCTCGTTCAAATTTTACACGGCTCGTTAGAGAGACAACCTGGTATCTGGGCCAGCAGTATTTCCCTTAAACTACCAACGTAACGCGAAAACACTCGAGGCAGCTTGGGAATTCTTTTTTGAATGTAATTGTAGGGAACTGGAACGGCCGTATCTCTTTCTTGGTATACGTAGATAACTCGAGATACACATCTATGTATATACACTGCACACTGTAATATTTGGGATTCGTATTTCCAACATCGAATGGAAACTTTTATTTCCAGAACACATCGACGCCCGTTCATTATTAACGCTGAGTATCAAAATGATTGTCAAAATGACCAATTTTTGTTGGATATTTTACAAATGTGAAACATTTACGTGTGTGTTTTCAGTGATTTAAATGATTTTTCGCAAAACGTGTGAAATATAAATATAAATCGTATATATATATATATATATATGCCGTATTTACACCAGTTATATAATTTATACAAATAAAAGCTTGTACATGTACTTCGTTGTATACGTGAGGTCTTTTTTACTTTGACATCACTGTGATGGAAATTTTATGTTTTAATCGCCGATACTTCTGATGTCAATAATAGCTGTATTTCGAAATGATCTTAGACGTAAGGCGGTATCCGTTTAACGAATAAAGTAAAGTATAATTTACTGTTGATTTATATTCGCGGTCTCTTTGTGGGAACGAACTGTGCACACGCACGCGAATGCTTGGAAGTGCTTAGTATCTCAGCTCAAAGTTTGCGTTACGCGCTATTAAAAAATTTTCTCTCGGAGGATAACAGCATTTGTAAATGTTAAAAAAGTCCTTCTCGAAGCAAGGTGGTAGAAAGTATCACTTACCATCAGGAGGCACAAAATCTTCGCTAAAACGGCAAGCTGTGGTAACCTGCAACAAGATAAAAACACTCGCGTTAATTACCTATTGCGACTTTTCCTGTGGGTCGAACGCGAGACAAAATAAAATACCGTCGTTTGAATAGAACGATGTACTGAATAGAAAAAGAGACACGTAAAGTAACGAGCAAAAAAGGTCTCCACCTCAAGATTTCAATTTCCGAGCGTGGAACCTAATCGTCCGCGATCTCGCCGCGCATGATTTATCGTATGCAGATAAATTTCGCGCGGATTGCAGAGCGGAGCGGCTACACACATTAACAGCGGCTACAAATTGAAAGCACAAATGGAACGCGGTGGATCGTTCCTGACAGATAAGGAAAACGCGTACGAGATAATTAACGCGCCGGATAGATCGGTGTGCAGCGTTTATACGATTCCATCTTCCTTCCAACGTGGATAATATTTCTCCAGATGACAGAAATCTCCCTGCCGGCTCCTGTCCGTTATTCGACAAGAGATACGTTGTACTTCTTCTTCTTCTTTTTTTTTTTTTTTTTTTCAACAATAAACTGAGCACCGACAGGGCTAATCGGAGTTTCAAATTGGATTTGGCGCGCGGAAATATTTCGTCCGCCTGAAAAGAACGGGATAAACACACGATCACCCGGAAGACTCGGTGTAATTTCAATAACGTTATCGGTATATAGCGCAGAGGTCGATTTCACTTTCTACGGTCTGTTAACTTTCTCGCTGAAAGACGGAAGGTGACGTTGGCAGTCACTCTGACTTTCGTTGTTCGATCGAGACGCGGTCTGTCAAATTCGTTTTTGTTTTCGCGGCGGATTTATGGACACAGCGGGGAAAAATATATATGTAGAAAGACCGGGGAATACGTACGCCGGTGTTGTCGAAGAGTAACGGGGAAGAAGGCCGCCGCGGGTTGTAAATAATAACCCAGTTGCGTACGAGATACATGTGGTGAGCCGCGCTGCAACTGGTTGCGTAACGCGAGTGCATCTCGTGTTACAGAGCACAGGTGAGCAGCGACAACACCGGCCGGCAGCAATGACGTCGCGAACCGTTCATTACCCGTTCACTTTAATTCTCCTGGGGGTTATTGGCTCGCCGATTGGAGCCACGGGGTGGACCAGGCCGTTCCTCTCGTTCGCGTCATCCCGCCTACCTCGTTCGAGCAGCCGAGCACCGATGCGACTTTACTTTATTTTGCCCGCGAGTCAAGTCGAGGAATCTTCGTATAGAAAACGACAGGATTCACATATATGTGAATCATTCTGTCAAACTGTCTGGCGACTTCATTTCCTCGGGAACCTGCACGATCGTATTCTCCAGCGTATGACGATCTTTTTCCAAACTTGTCATTTCATTTCGACAAAGTGTTTCTCGCGTTTTAACCTCTTAATGGAATGACGTGCCACGCACGTCGAGAATTTTTTGTCCCAAATTTGGCAACATTTCCTCAGTTTTAAGTATACTTAATGTAACCCAGGCAAAACAAATGATTAGTTTATTAGTTCTCAATCATTTCTATCCAGTGATATCGTACCGACGAGTTCGAAAGAAGAAGAAAGCGACGATTTTATTGTATACGGCTCGGTCGCTCGTTATGGTCCGCGAACCAGTTGCCAGCGCAAGGGGTTAACAAACTTGTCACTTTTCACGTTGCGGTGGCAAGCTTGTGCCCCGCGATCGAATATATACATACAGGGTGTTTCGTAACTTGTGGGGCCCCCTTCGGGAGCTAATTGTACGCCTAAAAACAATGAAAAAAAGTCATGTAAATATATGTCCTATCTGTCTTCGTTTGTGAGATGTAATGAATTTTATAAACAGAGCAAACTCTAGTAAGCTAGTTTTACCAGGGATGGTATATTCAATTTTCATAATGATCATAATTGGGATGAAGAAAACCCACATGTTATCGTGCATTCAAGACATCAACACCAGTTTAGTTTAAACGTATGGCCAGGAATAATTGATAAATTTTTAATTGGACCTTTTTTCTTGATGGAAAACTAACAGGCACAAAGTATGACTTTTTGAGCATGCGTTTACACGAAATATTAGAGGAAGTTCCAGTCGATATTAAATTATTCGTATGCGGTTTATGCATGATGGAGCTCCGCCGCATTTTAGCCGAATGGCTAGGCAATTTTTAAATCAACACTTTGCAAATAAATGGATTGGTCGTGGAGGTCCCATTGCATGGCCTGCTCGTTCTCTGGATTTGAATCCATTAGATTTTCATTTGTGGGGATATTTAAAATCTATTGTATACGCAACATCGATTGAACATGCTGAAATACTACGAAATAGAATAGAGCAAGGCTTTCAATAAATTCGAGAAACACCAGGAATGATAGAGAAAGTCAACCAGATCAATGATAAGACGTGTGCAGGCTTGTCTTCAAATGCANATTTCGAGCATCTTTTGTAAAAGTAATTAAAACAGAAAATTCATTATATCCCATAAACGAAGACAGATAGGACATATATTTATATGACTTTTTTTTTATTATTTTTAAGCATACAATCAGCTCCCGAAGTGAGTCCCACTAGTTACGAAATACTCTGTATATATATATATATATATATATATATATATATATATATATATATATTTTAAATATATTATATTTTAAATATATTATAAAAATATTTTATCGAAAAGTATACTCATTTCTGCATGAAAATATCGACTTTAAAAGCACATTCTATCGCGTGGAATTGTATTTAGTCGAATTTAAATTTAATTAAAAAATATACGTTGTATAAATACGTTTATCGAGATCTTTTTGTATCAGGACATACGAAAGATAGTTCTTAGAAGTTTATGCTACGCTTCGTTTATTCGTAACGATTCGCAACGAGATGTTTGAATTTTCAGGCGCATAATCACCGCGAGACGAAGCACAGCGAAATACAGGATCAGAAATCGCGTTAATTTTGTGATTACCGAGATTACGTTTTCCCGCGACTTGACAAGTTCGCAGCTGTGATCTACCGTAACGTCCCGTAATACGGTAGCACGAGGATGATCTTGAAATCTCTCGTCAATTGTCCTTTAATTCGTCGGCGAGTTCCAGCGAATCGCTTCAAATTACCTGGTTTGATCGTCCTAACGTAGGTCAGTTGAAAAAACGATCGATGCCAATCGTTTTTGGAGGACATAAAGTATAACAGGCCAGCAGGTCAACGGTCACAGATGACAACAATGAGAGAACACGGCACAATAACCGCGATAGCGCGTGCTGGATGTCACGATTTTTTGCCGGCGCGAAAAAGTGGGCGAGTGTGCTGTTGGGCACAAACAGATTTAAAAATAAAATGATATGTTTCTTCGTGCGTCGACGACAAGTCCAAATCGAAGTCCTTCTTTTTCGAGAAAAATTATGCAACCTAAAAATTTCGCGTCACAGTGTAGCACAAAAAATTGATCACTGACTTGGCCAAATTGATTTAAAAATAAGACGACTGAATGTTCCTCGCGCGGACGAGAAGAAGTCCAAATCGAAGTTCTTCTCCGAGGAAGAAATTGTATAACGTAAATTTCGCAATGCGTCGAAAAATTACAAAACATGCAATGCGGTAGATACGGCACGGCCGTTGTCGACTCAAGTTTCGTGGTTTTAACTACGATCACCGCGGAAACTTCGCGTAAAATGTGCGTACGCAGAAAGTGCGAAATAAACGTCGTTATAAATTAGACTCGTGCGAAATCGGACGAGGATGGATTGAAAGTGTCTCGAGGAATATGACGAAATACGATCGCGAGGTGAATAATAAGTGAAAAATGTGCAGAAAAACGACGACGTGTACGTAACGGTGCCTCGATTATCAAAAGCCACGTGCGAAACCGGCGCGAGAAACCGTGGCGAGGAATGAAAATAAAAGTGACGAAAACGTGTAAAGCCAAACCAAATCCAACCGAGACAACTTCCCCTTCCGCTTGCGAAATTCTTATTTTATAAATTTCAATTGTTCCGAATTCATCCCAAACGTACGCGAACGTACGCGATATGAACGAATCGATCGCGCTTCGGTCGCTCAATTTTTTGCCAATCGAGACGAGCCCGTGCGATCTCATACTGGAAGCTATCCACGTGACGATGATGCTCCTAAATCTTGTGCACTGCGTGCCGTTCATCCTCTACCTGAGACGTCTGTAAGTTTTTTCTATTTCTGTCGCGATATCGGCTCGCATAATTGCGAAGTTAGTCACAGTGATTCGATACGCTGGTTACGTACAGTGTGCAACGAAAGTTATTGAACAGCATGATAGAAAATAATTGATTATACAAAAATTGTATATAATAAATTGCAATTTATTGAAACAAATTGTTTTTATACTATTGTATGTACATTTGCTAAATATATGCAAAGTTAGAGAAAAATTAAACCATAAGTAAATAAATTACATAACATTTTTCACGGATAAGTACGTATGAGGCAATTTTTAATAGTCATGATAGAATGCAATGTTTATGTGATTATATTGTATTTTAATCTAGTTTAATATCTATACTATTGACTAACTTTTTGGTAACACTTGAATCCATAGAGTGCTACGCTGCCAGGATATTTTGTTTTAATGAATCTTTACTCGTTATATTATTTCTTTTAAGTCTCCTATCGAGTTCTTCCCATAAATGTTCGATGGGATTTAAGTCAGGGCTCTGTAGGGTGCTGGGGTACATTATCTAAGATCCATTCTTGTACTATTTTGGCCGTATGTTTAGGATCTCGGTCCTGCTGGAAGCAAAAATTTCTTGACACATTTAATTTTTCGGTACTATTGATTAAATGTTCTTCTAAAATATTTAAATATTTAGTTTTGTCCATGATTCTATCGATGAATAAAGATTAGCGGACACGCAAACCCATACATTACGAAGCCTCCATCATGTTTCACTGTAGACTTTAAATTTTTTGAATCCAACTCCTTGCTTGGTTTCCTCCATACTATTCTCTTACCATCGGACCCAGTAATCCAGTAAAATTGAATTTATTTTCATCCGAAAAAAATAACAGTGTTCCAAAAATTTATGTCCTTATTTATATACTCTTTGGCAAATTTTAAACCAAATAATTTATTCTTCTTGCTCTAATATATGATTTCCTACCATGGAAATTCCTCGACATAATTGGCCGTATGCTTCTTTATTAAAGTTTGTAACAACCATTGTTACCAATTTTGGAGTAGATGTAAAACGGATCTTTCTTTATTTCGCGCAGAAGCAATTTTTCCTCCCGTGGTGTTAATTTTTTTTTGGACGCCCAGATCTTTGTTCATTTGCAATATTTCCATTCGTATTATACTTTTTTTATCATACAATGAATTGTTGATTTGCTTCTGCTTACAAGAGAAGCAATTTCTTTATACGATTTACCTTCTTTGTCCAATTTAACAGTAATTTCTCGTTCGGGTTTATTTGTCCCTGATGTTTTACCACTCGTTATTTTGAATTACAGGTTAACGTTTAACTTTCGGTTCCGTTTGCTCTCAAATACTCGTTGGAAATACATTGAAGATCTTTTGTTTACATTTAGACCTCACAGTCTTGTGTTTACGATGTATAGTGTTTATAATTCAGCGTTCGAATAATTTTGTTATGCCGCATATGTACTATATGAAAAGTGTCATGTAATTAGGTTCAATTTTTCTCCAACTTTGCAAATCTATATTTACCAAATGTATATACAATAGTATGAAAACAATAATCAATTATTTTCTATCATGCCGTTCGAATACTTTCGTTGCTCGCTGTACGTACGTTTTGCCGGACAGCGTAGGTTAAACCATCCTGTTGACGGCCGTGGATCAAGACGAGTAGAGAAGAGTATATATTTTTCACGTGCGCGCGTGTACGTTCGATGGTATCTGTGGCATTGTAAGGTGCGGAGAGTGCATTAATTATTGATATTTCTTTCTGCCGGTGGTTGTTTTACGCGACGCGGAGAATGTTAAAATATACGCCTGGTATTTCATTGGCAGAGGCAGACGAGCGAGCGAGAGGGAAATGATGTTAACGAGAAACATTTCTAACGCTGTAGACCATGTGGCACCAGTTGCAATAAACAGCGGCTCTCCGTGAAAAAATCCAGTATTTCCAGTATTTCTAGTCATTGAGACGACGTGAAGAATCGCCGAGGCCGAACGGGAAGGTGCATCTTCGGGGCGATCCCGCCATTACGAATACACGCGTCGGTGACGTGCGCTGCGAGATTCGAGGCATGCAGTCAAGGATAATAGCTTTACGTTCAATCGTTTCTGTGAAATCAGGGCAAACGACTCTGAAAACTGATCTATGAAAAGAAAAAAAAAAAAAAAAAAAAAGGATGGAAGTTATCTCGGAGATTACTCATCGACGCGAGAATATGCACCTGAATTCGTTTTATTTTATAGACACTGTCAGTGACTTCCTTATTTCAAAGCGCCAGTCACAACTCACCAAATCGCCCCAAACATATCTGCGTGTCGCCGCTCTGAAGTGTCATCTCAGTCCATGCGCTAACGTAAGGAGGAGGAACCGTGACACTGATCCTGATCGTCCCGTCGTCGAAAAACTTTTTGTTAAAAATTCACGAATTCACGGATCTCACGCACAACCCGGTTGTCAATTACACACTGACAACGTTTATTATCAAACGCCTCGGAATGCCGCGTTCCACGAGAGATTCCAAGAAGCACAACGTCGCTACGTCACTCGACGAATCTCCGTTTAGCATCGAGCGGCTCCGCACAGCTGATTGAACGTACGAATGGTGTACAAATTCGCGGAGACGCGGCGTTTGAAAGAACTCTCCTACGTGTCGAGGTTTCCCAATGATTCGCCAGGATTAGCCAGGGATTATGTCATATAACATGCGATAATAGTATCATATCGATGTCAAGAATTTGCCAGGCAATGTTTGACGTAATGGACAAAAGCGCGCGCAACAGTGGTAGTGGCTGTCGTGTTTGTGGCTCTCCTTTATAGGATTAGACGAAACGGACCAAGTGTTGACCTTCGAATTTTGACATTCGACGATGGCGGCTAAGAAGATGAAGAGGATTTTCACTCGCAGAGGAGAAAGGATCGACGTTTATGCACGCGGTCACTTGCATCACGTGGCTGTGATGTGGGCAGTATCACTGTTTCAGCTTGGCTTGACTAGAAAACGCTCGGGCGGCCGCGACGAGTCCGACGAATCGTGGAGAGAGGCAGAGAGAAATATCGGGCGCGCGATTTGTTGTCACTGGCGCGAGATCGGCACGATGAATGCGGCCGAGGGTACAATCCGGCGTGACATCCCCGGAGCCACGTGGGGACTCGTCTAAAGGGGATTTTAGTGGGGATATTTGTCGCCTGCCGCGTGAAAAACTGCCAACACTTGAATAGGCCTCGGCTCGTCGATGAAAAACGCGGCTACCGACCCGACGCCGATGCCTCTCAGCTGGACACCCGCCTGTCGGCTAAATGCCCCCGCGTCCATGTCGTGGATTACGATTCTTTCATCCATCCTGACAGGGCCGTTCTCTTCTGGTGGTCATTCTTCCGTGTTCTAAGATGACGCGACGCCTCGTGCCCTCGTCCTCCCTGTGTTTGTCCTACCAAACTGTGCGTGCCGTTAAACGATCTCGCCGCGCGATAACACGTGAATTGAACATGATTGAATATAATATTTTTCATACCCTCGAGGTCGATTTTCGAAGAGAACCAAGAAAACAATTATATTTGTTTCTTTGAAGAATGTTTAACTTGGGGCGAAGAAGACGTGTGCAATAATTTGTCGCTTGTTATAATGTATCGTAATTTATGGAATTGGAAATTGATTTTCAAAGAGAAACAAGGAGAAAAAAAACTCTCTCGATCGTGCCGAAAAATTAACATTGAAGAATTTATCGCGATTACTGTGATATACCTATGTCCTCCGTAATTATTAATTTTTTTACACTCGAAATTGATTTTCGAAGAGAACCAAAGGAACTGTGCCCCTTTCGATCGTTTCGAAATTAACTCGTTTCTTTGAACAATGTTCAATTTACCTGCCGAGAGAATGTAGCAAAAGTGAGTAATAATAGTTTGTCACTGTTGCAACATATCCGTGCCCTTTATAATTATTAACCGTTTATAGTCGAAATCGATTTCCGGAGAAAGCGAAAGGAACTAAAAGGCCTCGGATGAATAAACTCTTTCAAAATTAGCTTTCTTCCTTGAAGAATGTTCAATTTACCGCGTGCATTATGTAACAATAATTTGTCACCTCTTAATTTATTGCGACGGCCTTTAGCGGTACGTATTTCCCACGTGACAAATTGATCGCTCGGAATGCCTCTACCGCTAGAGGAAAACCGTAGAAAAACATGGACGTCTCCATTGACCACGAAAAAAACCACGAAATTTACTACCTTTCTAGTGACCCGAGCACGAGCCGACTCCGTATTAACGTCATCCCCTCTCGGAGTAAAGCTTCCAGCCCACAAGAAAAAGTCACCTGGTCCCCGCGCGGACAATGGCAAGTCGTTGGAATGTTGCTCAAATAAGCGTGGCAAGTTGCGACAAATCACGCGTGTCAATGAATTTCAGACGGCACCGATAAATTGTCGTGAGCAATCTTTACGGCGATTCCACGGCGTATCGGCGGAGCGGTGGTTCAACGCTGACGAGTAACGCGCGCGATCCCAACATCCATAAATCCCGCCTGTTAAAAGCCTATCACAAATCATTCTACAAACTCAATTTGTGCGCTCCGCGTAGAAGCCTGACGGATAAGTTAATTTTCAATTCCGTGACGTATGTTACGACTGATCGATGTAGTCGACACCGTAGTCAACCGACCGTAAAATCCGATCGGATGGCGCAATTGCCTGCAACCGAATGTTGTTAGTTTCTGTTTTTTAACAATGGGATTTTCGACGATGGAGGCGTGAAATTTCCATCGGAGACACCGAAGTGCAAAAAATAAATTTATAATACGATGAAATGTAGAATCTTTTATTTATACATTTTGTGAAAAAACGTCCATAAAATATGCAACAAAAATTATCAACTGGTAATTTAAATCTAACCTAACCTAATTACTTTGGTCAAATTAACGATACCTGTTTTTTTTAGACAACTTGTCCAAAAAATATTACGGAATAAACAATCTTTTATTTTTACACTTTACGCAAAAATTATCCAAGTCTTTAAAAATACGCCAATTGTTTCACGTCTACGAAAATATCTAATAAATAAAAATTATAAATTATATTGGTCGTTTTCTTTTTTCTTTTCTTTAAACGAACGTGTTAGAAAAAAGTCAGTTGTAACGAAATTTCGTGACCGCGTGATTGTACGTACTTCCCAAAGGTAGTTTCACGTCAATAAAGTAGCACGTTATCGTCTAAACTTGTCGCGGCAGTCGTAAAACTCTAACTCTTGGCTCGGACGGCACTCTTTACCGCTCTCTCTTTGCCATCAAACATTCCTGTCGGCGATCGATGCGTATTTTATCAATTAGCATTTGAATATCACGGCGTCGAGAAAGCAAGCGGCGTTTGATGCTTCCTCGAAGCTCTGGTCCATTTTCATTTTACCGTGGCTTGGCAAACAACGCGAATTATTAACAACGATCGTTCAAACATGACGATAGACAACACCTAAATTCGTCTTCATTGCCAATGACACATAGCAATAACCGCTGTTGCGAAAGATGACTAATCTCATTATATTATTAGATGACTTGTCCCGAACAAACATGACAGCCACTTCGTCCGAATAGGATTGTGCATTTGCGAAGACGCCTTTGTCACGTTTTTCCCGCAAAAAGCACACGTCCAATTTTTTTTAACATTCGTTCGTCCAGTACGTGCGTAATTCGATTTTCACGGAAACGGAAGAATTTTTGTTGAAGTGTGAAAAAAAAAAGTGGCAAAAAAGCTCGTCCCAGCTCATTCGCTTCATTTACGGCGTTTATCATCGTCATCAAGCATAGTTGTTACAGCGGTGCGTGTAATTTTACTCGCAGGTTAAATTTTTTAATTTCGTATTTTAAATTCAAATTAAAAATTTTATCTAGAAGTAAAATGTTTATTTGCAATTACACTCCCCGTTCTACAACGCTAAACGTCCGCTCGAACGACCGGTTTGAAAAGTTCGTTCAAAATTCCGCGCTCTTTCGTTCGTTTTTTGACTCGTGTTAAAAAAGAAAATCTAATTTTCCCTCTTATTATCCGAAAGTTATTTTCGGTGCGTCGTCGGCAATTACTCGTGTCGCTTTCGTAAGAAAGACCCGATCGATGACCAGTTACGTTCAGTGTTAAAAGTCGAATTACCGCAGCCATGTAAGTCGAAAATAATCTGTACAGTTGGACAAAAAGAGGACGCGTCCCGCGTCTTGCTAACCAGCGGACGCCAGGTTGCGTCGAGCGCCGCGAAGGTGGTTTTTTTCCGCCGTGGCATGCAAATTATCTCGTTGATTGAACCAACCATTTTCCGTTGCTGGTGGACGAGAACACTCGTGACCGGAGAGAGAGAGAGAGAGAGAGAGAGAGAGAGAGAGAGACTGGTGGCAACCGGTGAAGTGGCAGATAGTAGTCGTCGACGTCGGCCGACGAACGTCGGGGCTTACGCGGAACGACCAAGGAGACGAGCAAACCGACGACCGAGCGCATCCTGCTGAACGTTACATAGAAAGAGGACCGTCCTCTCGTGCGTCAAGTGTTCCACGGTCGAGAAGACAACCTGGAGCAAGCGAGAACGAGAAGGGAGAGTACTAGGGAGGAGGATGACAAAGAGAAGAAGAAGAAGAAGTAGAAGAAGAAGAAGAAGAAGAAGAAGAAGCAGAAAAAGAGGAAGAAGACGAACAAGAAGAGGAGCCACGCGAGAAGAGTACACGACGTGGTTTTTGCTACGGAGCCGCGACGTTCCGCCGGCGTCACATTCATTCTGACACGCTCCCCTCCTCTCTTTTCTTTCTTTTTTTCTTTTTCGGTCGATCACCGATATGAAAGAAAAAAAAAAGCAACGATTCGGCAGCTATAGGCGACGATGCGGGGGGAAAAATGTAATTGACAGTGAAATCGAGTCGATCGTGCAACTTGAACTAACTTTCATTTGCAGTTGTAATTTGTTTGAATTCTTATTTTCGTAATTTCGTTGAGAACGCTGTCATTTGGAATTAGTTTCAGCGAGTCTAAGCAAATCATCACGTTCGATTTTTGCCGCTGTTTCGACGTAGAATTTGACATTTTTGAGTGGCTATCGATTACTATATCGAGTAGTTACTCGCTCGAATTTCGTTAGTTCTGTATTGATTTGCAGGTTTCAAATTCAATGATTTAATATCAATAATTTGATATTTTAATATTTAATTTCAATAATTTAATATTAATGTTTTGACTTTGTTTCGGCTTTGTTTCAACGTAGAATTTGACATTTTTGAACGAGTATCGAGTACTATCGCAGGTTTCGCTCAGATTTCGTCAGTTCTGTATCAATTTGCAGTTTTCAAATTCAATGATTTAATATCAATAATTTGATATTTTAGTATTTAATTTCAATAATTTAATATTAATGTTTTGATTTTGTTTCGACTTTGTTTCAACGTAGAATTTGACATTTTTGAACAAGTATCGAGTACTATCGCAGATTTCGCTCAGATTTCGTTAGTTCTGTATCCGATTTGCAATTTCCAAAACAGTCTTCACTTCGAAATATTTTGATAATGTTTCGACGTGGAATTTTGAATATCGACTACTATTGCAAATTTCACTCAGATTTTGACAGTTTCGTATCGATTCACTTCAATATTTCGATGCTGTGTCGACGTTTATCGCTGTTTCGACGCATCGTAAAATTTGACATTTTCTATTATCGTAGACTTCATACAGATTTCGTCAATCGATTTCCATTGCAGTTTGTGACGTTTGCTTAGTTTAAAGCCCCTTTAGGTTCTCACGCACCATAGGGGGGAAAATTTGTTTTTTTACGGAGACAATTCGAGAATAAATTGTTAACAGCGAATTCTTTTGCATTTCTATAAATGAAAATTTAAATAAAAAACTGCACTATCAACTACTCCCTAATTAATGACCTTTTAGGCTTTCTCCAATATTTTAAATGATAACAATTACGTGCCTCGCGGGGTGAAGCTTTTAGGATTTTAGAGATGCTCAAGTGAAGGAAGCACGGTCAAAAAAAAGTTGCTTTAAAGCACAAATCAGCCAGACGTATTTCAACTACAAATTTATATATTCGATTCGTTCGAAATGGAAACGATCATTGCTAATTATCAACCGGGGATGGTAACGAAACATTCACCGGGGATTCGTAGTTTTTCAACACCTCGGCTATCCTCTAAAGACAAGAAATTTTGTCTCGAGAAACGTGGAACAATCGGCCGCGTCTTCGCTTCTTTCCGAATTCCCCTCCCCCGAGTGATGGATACGCGTTATTCCTTCGTGGCTGGTGTCACCAGAGATAGCCGGCGATGAATCACCGAGAAAACGGATCTTCCGCCCCGTTTCGTCGATCGAGAAGCACCGGTCGAGTTGTTGTTCCCCGCATTCCTGGCGTTTTACTTAGCTCTACTTAAAAGGGTTGTGGATAGAGGCCGAGGAAGGCTCTTAGAGCGGATATCGTGTTCGAGCGATTCTCCTCGTGGCCCTCCCTCGGCCGTCCTCACCTCTCTCTCCACGACCGGTTACCAAACCGAAGAAAGCTACTAAACGAGGCGCATCCTGCGGGATCATTCATTACTTCGGCTCGCCTCGTTCGTTAGGCGAGCGCCAGGTTTAAGAAGGCCACGGTTAATTGAGTTTTAGGAATTCATTTTCGTCGTCGATAACCTGGCCCACGGTGGCCTTCCCCTTTCGCGTTCGCCAGCCAGTCTGGGAATTTCGAACGTGACAGTATCTATCCCGATGGACCGGGGGAAACGTTCTTGGTATGTGTTGAAATTGCTTCTTTGTAATAAAATAAATACAAGTTTATTAAATAATTATATTATATTACATAATATATATATTATTATATAATATTAAATAGTTTATATAATTTATATAATTTATATAATTTATATATATAATATTATATAATTTATATACATAATATTATATAATTTATATAATTTATATAATTTATATATATAATATTATATTTATAATATATAATTATCATATTGTACAAAAATATATATATGTATTTATTTAATTATTAAAAGAATGAAAGTTACAGCGGGTACTCGCGTATGCAGTGAGAATATAATATGATTAAGAATAAAACGAATATAGATACACGACACGTGGTGACTGTTCTACGTCTCGATCGGGAAGAAACTGAAACAACTGAAAATAACACATATAACATAAGCATATGATAACACCGCACACGTTCCATATCGTTGTTCTCCAAAAGTGCGCATTATGCTCTTCTCTCTGCGTGTGTAACGTATCAGTACTCTAATTTTATACCTAACCTCTCGTGAAATTTTCTTCTCGTTTGCAAATGTTTCAAAGAGATTGCGTAAATAACCATAATCTGTCATTTGTTACTTAATTACTTGGGAAACACATCGCCTCGTTGACGAAGTAGTTTTCGTGTTATTCACCTAGAGAGACAACGAGCCTCAATGTTACATCGCTCGCGTAACTAAACGCGGAGGAAAAAAGAAAAAGTGGAGCAATTCGTGCAGTGGCGTATCGCTTGAACTCATTAGCCAGTTAGTGCGAATATGATTCATCTACGATTACGTGCGAAGGAGGCACGAAACGCCAGCAACGAGTGACGTCAACGATACAGGAACGTAAATATACACGTCGATATTGAACAATTGCGATCATTCACTGTGTTCGATGCGACACGTTTCTTTTTCTTTCTTTTTTTCTTTCTTTCTTTCTTTGTCGTACTTGTGTCTGTCAGTATACGTGCTACGTGCACATGTTAAACTCGTGTTTGCTCGCTCCATTCATAACATTCGTAACGAGCGAAAATGACTGATAATTCTCTTTATTAAATACCTGCCAATTGGAGCGAATTCTTTTTCTTATGTGTGTGGGTGTGTGTTCGTGTTTGCGTCGAAACGAAGGAGAAGAAAAATTTGCAACATGTCAGTCTTCTCTTCTGCAGAAAATTGCAACGGAAGATTGCACGGGGAATAAAATTGCACGGAAAATCGTTAGCGGGCTAAGTGGCTCGTTGATTTGTTCACGTAAATGAAGCGAAAAGGAATGGATACGTCTCGCGGTACGAGCGCGATTCATCTCGTGCATCGACCCCGCGCTGTTTACTCCCGAGGATCACGTAGACCGTTTCGAAAGTATTCTTTAAATACGTTGCTCCTTTTTATCTCGAAAGTAAGGTAGTAGACTCGTTTTTCGGCGAATTAATCGACAGTGAATGAAATACACATAGGGTGGGCCGAAAGTTTCTTCCCACTTATCTTCTTTTCTTTTTCTTTTTTTCTTAATAAAACTAATTTCGTTAATTTTAAATTCGAACGCGATTTTTCCATTATGTTTTGAAAATTATTTATCTTGTACAAGTGTTGACTGGCAGAGCCATATATATAAAAAATATATAAAATTTATATATATAAAACATATTATAATTATGTAATTTATATAAAATTTATATATATGTAAAACATATTATATTTATGTAATTTATATAAAATTTATATATATGTAAAACATATTATATTTATGTAATTTATATAAAATTTATATATATGTAAAACATATTATATTTATGTAATTTATATAAAATTTATATATATGTAAAACATATTATATTTATGTAATTTATATAAAATTTATATATATGTAAAACATATTATATTTATGTAATTTATATAAAATTTATATATATATATATATAAAACATATTATATCTATATTAAATAAATATTTATATTCATATATATTCCTAGTAGGAAGTGATTTTTGGCCCACACAAAACGAGACGCTCTCGTCGAATCTTCACTTTTCGTGTCCTTCCCGGACACACGTTACGATTTAACACACAGAACGCGATATCCGGTTGTTTATCGCGTCACGTAACGCGGTAAGTTTCGCGAACGGGTGCAACAATGCCTGCGCCAATCATCGAAACATTGTTCGCGTCGGAAAGTGGAAACCACCGCGTCCGTACCACGATGAAAAGAAAGTTTTATCTCGGGGAGTATCGCCGTTCGTTCTGGCTCGTCCAGGCGGGCATTTGTTGTTCGACCGGTAATCTCTAATGGACTCTATGGGCATTTAAATAACCATCTCGCCCACCCACCATCACTTAACTCTTTCTCTCTCTCTCTCTCTCTCTCTCTCTCTCTCTCGCTCTCTTTTTGTCTCGCCGTCTTTTCTCCGAAAGCCGTGTGGCACTATCTGGGCGAGCTTGGTACGCTCTGACGACACGAAGACAAGACGAGACAACTGTTCCTCTCCGGGCCTTTCCATATTTTTACCGTTACGACCGGCCGAACACACCGCGGTTACCATTATTTGCCTTCGTCCTACGTGTGCCTCGTCCTCACGAGAACTACGAAACGTTCACGCAATTTTGCGCAAAAGACGGTCGGTCGTGTCGCGTCGTTTCTTTCTTTCTTTTTCTTTTTTCTTTTTTTTTTTTTTTCTTTTTAATTCTTACCCGATCGGTAACGACGCGACGTTAGAGCTGCGTATGTGACCTAGGTCAAGTGCGACGCGATTTTCCCAACCCCCTTCTCCCCCGCGACGCCTTGTCCCCCTTTTTTCTTTCACCCGGTGCAACGTCTGTGCCACTTTCTCCTCCTCGGCGGACAAAGGTATTTTTCCAGCTCGCGTTCCCCCGACTCGTCGAATTTGACTCGTTCCTTACCTCCCTTTTCTTTTTCCCTCTTCCCTCTGAGGATCAAATTCTGACGATCGATGACTCTTTTCCATCGTCTGCAATAACAACGAAATGTAGTATTGAAAGTAACGTTCTCCCTTGGTTTTACTTTGCCAATCAGGACGATAACGAATAATTTGGACAGTAAAAAGTAGTCTTTTTGTAGCGATGTATAATTCGACACATCCGACATCTCGCGATATCAATCGTTTATTAACGATTCAATAATAATTTCCGTGGTATCGTTCTTAGAAGGAAGGAAACCAATTCGAGGAAGCTTCGGCTATTCCTCCGAAAAACGAGTTTCAGTCTCTTCACCGTGTCGTTCGTCGAATATTTTCAAGAACAAAGTTAACCGTGGCACTGCCAAAATAGTCAAAACGACCAGTTCATAATTTCAGATATAAGACATATGAAACAATACGTTTTTTCAAAGATTTGAACGAAGATTTTTCGTAAAATGTGTTGAAGAATATTACAAAGTGCGCTGTACTATAAAGTCCATCTCTTTCATTTTTTATTTTAATATCCTCTGATGAGAAATTTTGCGCTTCAATCGTCGATAGTTTTAGCGTTTTAGTGGCGAGTTAATTCCTCGAATATTGTCATTCAAATTTATTAGTATATTAATATTATTATTATACTATATTATTATATTAATATTATTATTATACTATATTATTATATTAATATTATTATTATACTATATTATTTTATTAATATTATTATTATTATATTAACCACTTGCGCTGGCAACTGATTGCGGACCATAACGAGTGACCGAACCGTACACAATAATTTGTCGCTTTCTGTTTGAACTCATGTATCGGACTATGATATCACCGGATAGAAATTATTTAAATGTAATAAATTTATTATTTGTTTTACTTAAAAAATTCTCGACGTGCGTGGCACGTCATTCCAGCGCAAGAGATTAATATTATTATTATTATACTAATATTATCAGTCAAATTTATTAAATTATTAGTATTATTATTATTATTATATTTAATTATATTTATTTATTTATAATTATATTTAAATTATTATTATTATTATACATATTATTATCATTCAAACGCTTGAAGAAAGCGTTTCAACTTCTCCGCCATATTATCCTCACGGCAGAAGCAATTCTCAAGAACAAGAGGGGCTAATTCAAGAAATCCCGCAGGTGCGCACACGTGCCTCGGCCGGTTGTTATTCAGATCGGTGTGTGGTACGTGATGCTTTTTTTACGTCAGAATAGAAAAATACGCGGCACGTACGCTCACTTATCAACTTGTTACGCATTTGTCCTCCGTGCTGTGCAGCCTTTGTCTTTCTCCCCCTTTCTTTCGTTCAGCCATCTTTATCGCTTTGTAATCGACAGTTGTAAAAGTCAGTTCTACCGAAGAACGATTTCAACGAAACAACAAACTCGCTGTCGTAACCGCGCCAGATACCCCCGTTTATTTTTCCAACCGTTATCGCGTTTGTCGCTTTCACTTTTCCTGTTGCTTTCGTTTTTCTTTCGGTCGTCGCTTATCTGCCGCTCGTATCGGCCACGCGTCACGCGCGAGAAAGGTCAAGCACGTGATACGCTTCTCGAAAATAACTTTTCGAATCTCGCGAGTCAATCGATTCGGCAATTTTTCTGGTGGAAAATCGGTAGGAGTTTCCTTCGTCCCGAAAGCGAGATTCTCGCGTTTGGTTCAGGTGACTCTCGAATATTAATGTTCGAGTTTTCTAAATGTGTTTATCGTTGTACGATAAATCATTAACAATTAAGTGTGAATATCACTGAAAATTCGCAGACTCGTACTCTGGCCGGAGATTTCTTTTGAGTCTTTTTGCATCTGTAATTTCTTCTCTGACGTCAAGAGGAAAGACTTTTGCAAGTTTCGGTTAATAAACAGTTAAAACAGGTAAAATGTGTTAGAGGATTCAACGTTTGATACAAATTTTTTGGAGAAGAAGGTTCGATCGATCGATCCTTTTTACCGGAAGCCGAGAGAGAAAGAAAGAGAGAGAAAGAACTGGCAGTAATTTTTCTCTCTTTTGAAAATTCACAATTATCCGCAGGCTAATTATCAAGTTAATAAGATAAAATTATAAGTTAAGAGATGAATATGTCATAACATCGAGACATAAAAAAATTACGCGAATTTTGTCGCATCCACCACATTCTTCAAAACACTATGACGATACTGACAGCATAAAAAAAAGAAACTCCTAGCTCACTGTGATAAAAAAAATATTTCAATGAAGAACCAAAGAAATCCTACAGCGATGGAACTAAAAAAAATGGTCCTTGCTAAAAGAAAAGAAATGAGAAAAAGATGATTGCATATTTGATCAAATGTTACCCTAAATAAATATTACAAAAAGCATACTCATACTGGGTTACATAGATTTGTGACTTTCTACAGATGTGCCGTATCTAATCGCTGCAATATTCATTATCAACTCGTTCATTCAGGGTCGACGTTTGTCAATAGGTAAAACAA